CTGGATTATTACAAATGCCTTCTAATTGGTCTCCCTTCCTTAAGTCTCTTTCCAATCCAATCTATCTTCTGCTAAGCTGCCACAGTGATATTCCTGAGTTCTAACTATGGTTCCCCTCAACCTCTCCCCTGCCCCCCCAAACACACTCACTAAACTTCAATAGTTTCCTGTTACCCCAAGGATCAAATATAAACTCCTTTGTTTGAAATTTAAAGGTCTTAATAATCCAGCCCTTTCCTGTCTTATAGTGTTCTCACCCTTTACTCCCTTCCACTGTCTAATTCAACTACAGTGGTCTGCTTGCTGTTATGCTCTTCCAGTACTCCATCTCCCAACTCTGGGCCTCTTCACTTGGACCTTTTAGTTTCCCTGGCTTCCTACAAGTCTTAGCTCAAATTTCACTTCTTCAGCAATACTTTCCAACTTCTTCTAGCTGCTAGTGTGTTTCCATCAAAGATTATGTTCCATATACTCTCTGCATTTCTTATATTATTTAATTATTTATATATTGCCTCTCCCATTGGAATTTGAGCTTCTTGATGATAGAGACTTAAAAAAAAACCCAACCTTTCTTCATCTTCCTAGTACTTAACATAGTGCCTGGCACATAGTAAGTGCTTACTAGATATTTTTTGATTGATAGCACCACTAGGGTTTAGATTCTCCCCCCACTCCAGAAGATAAGTATACTTTCAGAACTACTGAATAATTAATCCTTTCCCATTAGACCTGCATACTCTGAGTAATTCACTAGCTTTGTTCTCTGAGGAGGACACTGTACAGAAGTCAATGTGAATAATTTTTTTCTCCGGCAATTCTCAAATTAGACATTACCCCTGAGGTAACACCCAGAGCTGGTACTGTCCAGAACATCCCTTCTCTGGCCAGAATGTTAGATTCTGTGATTTATGCTGCCTCAGAAATTCAAGATCCTCCTTTCATATGAGAATTTAGGCTTCAATAACATAGCCCATGAACCATGCCTCAAGCTCTGTGCAACTATGTGTTAACTTCTGCTACATGCTTTTGCCGCAACTCACTATCAGAGAGACAATGTGGAGTAGTGGATAGAACACTGGACTTGAAGCCAGGAAATCTGGTTTCAGATCCTACCTTAGGTACTAACTAGTTCTGTGACTCTGGGCAAATTATTTAACTTCTATGGTCCTCAGTTTCCTCATCTGTAAAATTATGGTGTTGTACTCAGTGGACATCTCTTCTACCTCTAAAATTCAGGCCCAAACTTATTTGGCCTACTGTCCCATTTAAAAAATTACTCAGCACCCCCCTGGAAATCTACATTCTTTAACCCCTTAATTTTTTCAAAAAATTTACATCATTTCAAAAAAATAGCGCCCCTGTGGATCATTCCAGCACAGCTCCTTGCCCTCCCCCCCCAGGGGGTGGTATTGTCCACTTTGGGAACCTATGTCTAAATCTGTCATCCTGTTAGGTTATCTTCAGATTGGGTGGGACTGGAATGGGGGCACTGAAATGAGCAGGGAATCCCTCTTCCCATAATTCAGGTCCCCTATTCTAAATATTGGTCTAAATGTGGCAAAATTATAAAGATCAAGTATGACTTAAATGAAGAGATATGAGAAGACAGCCCCAATCCACCCCTTCATGGAGATAATAGGTCCACAAGAGCTACACATTGCACTTTTGGAATTTTGGACTTTTGGACTTTTTCAATGTATCGACTAGTTGTGCTTACTTTTTTTTCTTCTCTAAAAAATATTATTTATCATATAGCATGGCCTTGTGGGAAGGGGAAAGGGAAGGATACATGGGATACATGGGTAACATAAAAAACAGAAAATATCAAATAGCACTTATTTAAAAATATAAAAAGGCACTTTGTTTCAAATCCTTCATTTATCCATTTCTGGGATTTAAGGTAATTTATACACACACTGGGATTTTCTGGTTCGGCTTGGTACACCAAAAGGCTAGTTAGTCTCTCCTTCACCTCAGAAAATAGTATCCCTTCAGTTCAGAGCATAATCCTTGCTTTAGTGGTTGCTAAGCAGTGAGAAGCCTAGGTCTGGTTGTTAGCTAAACAAAGCCCTGTAAGCTTCTGAAGAAGCAACAGATGGTCTGTTGCTATGCCCTGTGGGGTTCTTATTCTGCAAAGGAGATAGTCTCTAGGAAACTCATGAGATATGAGGGGAGCAGTCATTCAGGTTTGAATAGCATTTGTGTTCCAGCTGTCCTTTCAGGTTTAGACTGCAGAATGTCACTCAGCCATCAAATGCCAAACCAGTCATTAATCTCTAGGTCAGCCAACTGGACCCATTCATCAGCTTAGTATGACCTGATATAGGAGGAAAGTACCATCGAAGAGTTTCTCATTGCTTGAGTACACTATTATCGTTCTGTGCTGATGCTCCTCTTCCTTTCCTTTCTCTCTTTCTTTCTTTTTTTTTAGGCAGTTGGGGTTAAGTGACTTGCCCAGGGTCACACAACTAGTAAGTGTCAAGTGTTTGGTCTGAGGCCGGATTTGAACTCAGGTCCTCCTGATTTCAGGGCTGATGCTCTATCCACTGCGCCACCTAGCTGCCCCCTTCCTTTCCTTTTCTTTCCTGTGCCCCATCTGTCAGTCACTGAACTGCTTTGTCAAAAGGTGCCTTGCTTGGATTTGACCCTTCTATTCTATGCCACCACACTGTTGGATTGTATGGTGCACATCTAGCCTAGACTTGAAGCCAGGAAGATTGGAGTTAAAAATCCTGCCTCAGACACTTACTAGCTTTGTGACCCTGGGCAAGTCTTTTAATCTCTGACAAATTTCCAAAATTGATTTGTGGGTGATTTTTATCACCCACAAAATGAAATGACAACAACATTTATGTAGTGCCTACTATATGCTACCTCTGTTAAGCAATTTGTGATTATTATTCTCATTTTATCCTCACCACAACCTGGAAGATACGTGCTATTATTATCGCCACTTATAAATGAGGAAATTGAGGCAGATTAAGGTTAAGTGACTCGACCAGAGTCACACAATAAATAAGTGTCTGTGAGGCCAGATTTGAGCTTGGGTCTTTTGGATGGCAATACTATCTACCTGACAAGGCCATGGCAAAGCTCAAATGAGGTACTATATGTAAAGTACTTTGAAAACTTTAAAGCACTATGTAAATACTGGTTGTTATTATTATTATCTTAAAGCAGATCCTCATCGCTTTATACCTGGATCACCATGATGGAATGCTCCCTGTCATCTTGATCTCCAGGCTCCAGATTTTCTAGTGTTGTTTCACTAAAGGACAGAATTCACAGATAGGTGTTTGACCTGGCACAGTCAATAACTTGGGGTCTACTCAGCAAAGTAGGATAAAATGAGGGCAGAGCACCTTTACTCTAGGATGAGGCATAGCATGCATGCTTTTCATATATACATATGCCTAAATCTTGCACTGGTTTGTTCCACCCTGCATTAGCTGACATTGCCAGACCTCAGTCCATTATTTATATAAGCCCGTGATGTTTGCCAGACACCTTTTGCTAGGACATTCAGTTCTGGGTGATGACTGCTTGCAATGCATCTAGCTTTTGACTTCTTGACAGATCTCCATAAAATGCCACTTTCAACATCCATTACCCAGGATTGTGCAGTGGCTCCTTAATGTATCAAGCCTCAATTTCTAAATGATTTTCAAGTTCTCCATAATCTAGCCTTGTCCTACCCACCCAACATAATTTCTCACTGTTCTCCAATATGTACCTTCTGTTCTAATTATTCCTAACTTCATCGTTGTTTGCCCTCCCAAACACAAATTCATCGTAGCACCATGTTCATTCCTGCCTCTTAAACCCCTTCTCTAGAATACCTTATATACCTTATTTCTTAATTTCTATCCACTTAGATCCTAGCCATACTTCAGGGCTGTTGTGATGCTCAGACAAGATCAGTACAAAATCTTCTGTTTGACATTTAGAACACTTTACAATCTGGCACCTTCTTACATTACACTTTACTCTCCTCCATGGTCTATCTATGGTGGCCTTTGTTGTCATTCTTCATACATGACACTGCATCTCCTTGTCTTCTATGCCTAGATGCTTCCGTCTTTACCTCAGCCTCTTAGTTTCCCCTGGTTTCTTTCAAGATTCAGCTTAAATCTTACTTTTTTGTAAGAGGCCTCTGCTGGTCTCAGTACAGTCTACAGTATTTCCTCCTTAGTGTCTTCTCTTCCAGAGTTGTCTTCCAAGTACTCTGTATATATCTTATATGTCCCTAGTTATCTAGATATTTTCTCTCCATTAGACTGTAAAGTCTTTGAGGACAGGGACTGTCTTTACCTTTTTTTATCCCCAGCACTTAGTATAGTGCCTGGCACATAGCAAATACTTAATAAATTATTTTAAACTTAATGATACTTGGCAAATCTTACAAAGTACAATATGAATGCTATCTCAGTCACATATGAGTCCCACCTCCACCATGAGATGTTCACCAACTCCTCTAGCCCACAATTATCTATCTTATCTCTGAATCCCATTGTACAATGACTTTAACCCTGTAATTGTTCTCTAATTATTATACACATAATAGTTTTGTTTCCCCAATTAAGCTCAATTCCTTAATGTGGCAGTACAGTATAGTGGAAGCAATGCTAGATAAGGAGGCAAAGGACATGAGCTCAAGTACATTGACTATTGATAACCTGGGTGACTTCACATCTGTGGGCCTTGGTTTCCTCATTTGGAAAATGAGGGGTTGGATTAGAACCTGTCTAAGGTCTCTTCCAGCTGCAAGTCTATAATAGTTTCTACCTCACGAGGTTGTGACGATAAAATGAGATAACAAACAAAAAGCATTTTTTATACTTTGAAACTCTATATAAATGCAAGCTATCATTAATATTTACCTCTGTATCAACACATTTCAGGAACTATTTCTTATACGTGTTTTTTTAATCCCTTGCAGTGCTGGGCACATAGATACTGAATCCATTTTCATGAAAGAGCGTTATTGATTTTTGTCTCAGTACAGCCTACGGTTTTCATGGACTACCAGCTCTCCGAAGGTCACCTGAATGTCACCTGCTCTGCCACTGCGCGGCCAGCCCCTGTGATTTCCTGGAAGGTCGGGCTAGAGGTGCCAAATAGCGTTGAGAGCATTGTTCATCCGAATGGTACCACATCAGTCATTAGTGTCCTCCACATCAAAGACTCTGAGAACCAGCTGGGGAAAAAGATATTCTGTAATGTAGAGCACATGAATAATAGGATGGAATACAGCGTGATCCCAACCAAAAATGGTGCAGGTAAAGATGCTCTTGCTGAACACTTCTAAGGAGAGACTCAAAAGAGAGAATAGAATAAAGGGAGGGGGATAGGATTAAGGGAAATATGCTTAGTTTTTCGCAACATGACTACTATGAAAGTGTTTTGCGTGACTACACATGTATAACCTGTATTGAGTTGCTTGCTTTTTCAGTGAGGGTGGGTGGGGAGGGAGGAAGGGAGAAAATTTGGAACCCAAATTTTAAAAACAAATGTTAAAAAAAAATTTTAAATTAAAAAATTTAAGATGCCCATGCTGGTGTTTGTGTGACACATAACCAGTCAGTCTCATTCTTTGTCTCTATTCTGCATAGAAAAATAGAGAATAGATTCCCCCAGGAGAACAAAGAGATAGGTAACAGGATGAGGGAGCATGGAAGGATACTTTACAGATACTTTAGTCATATATGAGCATTGTGCCAGATACTACCAACAACCTATTGGTGTTGCTGTTCAATCATGTCCGACTCTTTGTGACCCCATTTGAGGTTTTCTTGGCAAAGATACTAGAGTGTTTTGCCATTTCCTTCTCCAACTCATTTTACAGATGAAGAAACTGAGGCAAACAGGGTGAAGTGACTTGTCCAGGGTCACAAACCTAGTAAGTGTCTGAGGCTGGATTTGAACTCAGATCTTCCTGACCCCAGGCCCAGCACTCTGTCCACTGAACCATCCAGCTAACTATTGGTACCCCCCCAAAAAATAGAAGGTTCACATTACTTTTTGTAACAGTCTCTCAAGGGGAAATATGATGGATATTTACAAGAATATATAAATTACATGCAAAAATAAATGCAAAGTAATTCTAGTGCCTCCCTAGAAGTTAATGGATCATGAAAATTCACACAGACAATGGTACCTGAGTTAGGCTTTGAAGGAAATTTGAGATTCTAAGAGGGAAGGAAGATGTTTCTCTGTCCCAGCATTCTAATGGCAGCCTCCCCACGTATGTCCTTGATTCTCCTAAGCTGATGCTAGGAGTATGCAAGGGGAGGACCTCTATGCTGACCTGTTTCACTCCATTTTGCACCCTGTGAGTGGTTGGGCCAAATAGACTGTGTAGCTGGGCCCCAGCACTAATGACATACCTTGGAAGGAGATGTAGGCCTTCCACCATAGAAAATGGCACAAGGTCTTGGTTGACTCCAGGACCTCTTCCAAAACCAAACACTGCCTAGGCCTTCTCCAAGGGATAATAGAGAATCAACCAAAAGCCGAGTTTCAAGAAGGACACCTTTAGACATTCAGACTGTCTCATTTCTAGAGTCTACAGGTGCTTCTCCTCTTTCTTTTTTTCCTTTTTTTATGCATTTATTTTGATTTATCAACAATCACTTCCATATGCTTTTGAGTTTAAAATTTCTCTCCCCCTTCCTCCTCACCACCCTCCCCAAGACAGCACACAATCTGACATAGGCTATACATATATATTCCTATTAAACATATTTTCACATTAATGATATTGTAAGTAAAAATTAGAACCAATAGGAGGAACCACCAGAAAGAGGAAACAAAACTCAGAAGAGAAAAAAAAAATAGCAAATAGCATACTTTGAGCTTCTCCTCTTTCTTGATCCCTGGAAAGTCCCAAGAACTGAAGAGAGGATTTCTAGCATTTAGAACTAACACACCCAGAGATTATTTGCTTATTGTGTATCTTTATGTGGATACAGAGCTTCCAGTTTTGTTTCAAACTATAAAACTTGAAACAAGATTCTCATGGAGCCTGTATTCATAGGCATACACAGAACTGGAAGGGATTGTCCCTCCACCTCCATTTTACAGATAACGGAGCAGTCTTGGAGGAGATCAGTGATTTGTCCAAGGTCACATAACTAGCAAGTGACAGAGTCATGAAATTTGGTTTTCATGGTGAGTGACCTTGACATCCTGGAATATCACTCAGGGAATCCCAGGGCTTCACTTAGCTGGAAGTGGTTAAGTACAAAAATTTTGCCATGATTCATTCAGGTACAAAGCAGAGTATTAGAGAGAGGCAGTACAGAGTGACCACTTCAGTCACCCCAGTCAAATAGTGCATTTTGCTTTAGAATAAGGTCATAGAAAAATATCTTCACATACTAGAGTCCTAGAATTAGATCTTATTCTCAAGACATTTAAAATTTGAATTAGAAATAGACCTTTAATATGTATATCTATATATTTCTATATATACATATATACATATATACATATACATGAAAACAATTTTTGAGCTAGAGGACAGAGCATATGGTGAAGAAGGAAATTTTTCCAATAAAATTAAAACCATTAATGTGTACCTTTCTCCATGTTTTGTTTGAATATCTGACTCTTGTTTATTTTATTCTCATTATCCCTTCCCCATTCCCTGCAGGCCTTCATTTTTCAGTGGCTATATTTGTGGGTATTCTTGTGCCTGTAGTGATTCTGCTGGCCTTGATTTCTATCTTACTCTACTGGAAATATCGGCGCCAGAGTAGAGGTGAGTTGTGGGGGGAGGGATTGTAGAAAAGAAGGAGACAGTGAAAAAAAAAGTAGAACCAACTTGTTTTTTCAAGTTGTTGAGGGAACATGCTATTAGATATTCAAGAAATGGCCCAAAGAAGAGCCTGTGGGAATAAGGTTGCTTTAAAGTAAATAGATTGTGCACCTGTCTGGGAAAGTGGAAAGATTGCTGGGCTCAACATCAGACAGTGTTTCTCTATACCTTATTACCCATGAGACCTATAGTGGGAGACAACATAATTTAGTAGGGAAAGCACTTCTTTGGGAATCAAAGGACCTAGGCTTGAATTCTGCCTTTTCTTCTTCCTCCCTGTGTGACCTTTGGCAAGTATCTTAACCTCTCTGGGCCTCAGTTTCTTCACCTGTAAAATGAGGATATTGTATTAAATGACCCACTATGGTCTCTCCCTACTCTAAAAGCCATGATCCTGTGATCTTCTTACTTGTGGATCTGTTTCCTCAATTGTAGAATAGGAGGAAGGATTAAATGGTGTTAAAACTTTAAATCCTCTGTTGCCCTCCAAACCTGATTTTCTTCTCTCCCACTAAGCACTAGGCCAGGGGTGGGGAACGTGCAGCCTCAAGGCCATGTGTGGCCTTCTAGGTCCTCAAGTGCAGCCCTTTGACTGAATCCAAACTTCACAGAACGAGTCCTCTTAATAAAGGGATTTGTTCTGTAAAACTTGGACTCCGAAAAAAGGTTGTACCCAAGGACCTAGAAGGCCACATGTGGCCTCAAAGTAGCAGGTTCCTCAGCCCTGCTCTAGGCAAACACATATGCACTTGACCTTCATGACCTATGTCCCCTTTTCACTCAGTCTCTCAGACCATGACTAACATCCACCTGGTCAAATGATCTACTGTCTGCAGCCATGCCTTATTTTACTGTTCCTAAGGCTGCTGCTGTTGTCACTAACTTTTAAATGATGTTGACAAGTGACAGAGACGTCCCTGAAAGGAAATTGTTTAATGCCTTTTTCTAGAACTTTCATGAATGAAGCTATTAAAATTTTAGGTGATTTCCATTAAAAAGGGAGAATTGCAAAGGGAATCATATACTCTATATAGAGTCTGTCATGCAAGTTGTGAGTTTTATAGGGGAATTCAGTGTTTCAACAGAGAAAGAAGGGACTACAGGATGATGTGGCAGAAGGGGCATTGAACAGGAGAGTTAACGAATCTGTTTCTGTGACCTTGAGCAAATACCTTCCTTTCTTTGGGGATGTTTGTTTACTCTTCTTTAAAATAAAGTTCTTTTTTTCCCCTTGAAACATTAATATGGACATCTGTTTGCTCATCTATTTTTGAAATGGATTTTATTTTTCTTGCCTTCTCCACAAGTGCAAGAGGAGAAAGGGAGAGAGAGAGAGGATTTGGAATGGAACGTAAAATAAAACTGAATTTTTTTTTAAAAAAAGGAGTTGCCCTTAGAAGGTCCTTAAGCTCATTTAAAGCACTGTGAGACTAAGAAAAAAAATTTTTTTGGAGGAGGGGAGTTGGCTTCAAGCCCTCTTTAAGTCACCTCTACAACCTATTATCTCTCCACCTATTCTTTTTCCTCTAATAAGGCTTTTTGGATGCCGAGAAAAATCAACTGGTCTTAGCACTTAGTTATCAAGAAGTGTGTGTGTGTGTGTGTGTGTGTGTGTGTGTGTGTGTGGTGTGTGTGTGTTTCAGATACCAAATAGCCATGTTCTGGGTGATTGGAGGGCAGATGTTGTTTCGTCATTTCAGGCATGTCAGACTCTTTATGTCCCCATGTGGATATTTCTTGGCAGAGTTATTGGAGTGGTTTGCCATTTCCTTCTCCATCTCCTTTTAGAGATGAGGAAACTGAGGCAAACAGTGTTAAGTGACTTGCCTAGGGTCACACAGCTAATAAGTATCTGAGGGCAGATTTGAACTCACATTCAAATTTTAAGATACCAAAATATTTAAAATACCAAATGTCCAAGTTCTTGGGGATTGGAAGGCAGATAGCCAACCAGAATCAGCCCCATGTAGTCCCAGGGTTCCTGGGGGTTCTGTACATGTCTTCCCTATTGCTGATCTAAGAGTACCTTTCTTTTTTTAAAAAAAAAATTATTTATTTTTAGTTTTCAATATTTATTTCCACAAGATTTTGAGTTCCGAATTTTCACCCTATCTCACCCCTCCCCCATCTCAAGATGGCATGCATTCTGAATATCCCTTCCCCTAGTCTGTCCTCTCTTCTATCTCTCCTCCCCTTCTCTTATCTTCTTCCCTTTCTTTTTTCCTGTAGGGCAGGATAGACTTCTGGACCCCATTTCCTGTATTTCTTATTTCCCAGTTGCATGTGAAAACATTTTTTTAAACATATGTTTTTAAAACTTTAGGTTTCAAATTTTCTCCCTTCCTCTCTCCCCATCCACCCTCATTGAAAAGGCAAGCAACTCAATATAGGTTATACATGTGCAGTTATGCAAAACACTTCTGTAGTAGACATGTTGTGAAAAACTAACTCTATTTCCCTTAATCCTATCCTGCCTTCCCATTTATTCTATTCTTTCTTTTGACCCTGTCCCTCCTCAGAAGTATTTACTTCTGATTACCCCCCTTTCCCAATCTGCCCTCCTCTCTATCATCCTCCTGCTCTCTTGTCCCCTTCTCCTCCTATTTTCCTGTAGGGTAAGACAGATTTCCATACCCAATTGAATATGTATGTTATTCCCTCCATAAGCCAAATTCTGTGAGAAGATTCATTCATTCCCTCTCACCTTTCCCCATTTCCCCTTCACTGTAAGAGACTTTTCTGTTTTGTTTTGGGTTTTTTTGTGAGATAATTTACCCCATTCTACCTCTCCCTTTCTTCTTCTCCTAGTATAATCCTCTGTCATCCCTTAATTTTATTCTCCAGAAATGACCCCTTTATCTTCAACTCACCCTGTGCCCTCTATTTATCTATCTATATATACATACATATAATTTTTTTTCTTCCAGCTACCCTAATACTAAGAGTACTTTTCTTGCCATTTGTCCTGAGTATAGTTTATGGTACTTGTCCCAGATGTAAAAAGTCTTACTTTTAGTTGAGGGAGGAGGGAGGTAAAGTAAAAGGCATTGTAGGGCAGTAAAGAGGACGATGGACTGGGAGTCAGAGAACATCCCTGGTTTGAATCCTGGCTCTGCCATTCACTACCTACATAACCTTGGGCAAATCATTTAACCTCTTTGGACCTCATTTTTCTTATCTGTAAGATGAAAGGGTTGAATTAGTTGAGCCCTGACATCCCTTCTCAATCTAAAAATCAGTGATTCTACAAGGAAATGGCTTCGACAAAAAGGAATGAATGAAAAAAAATAGACAGGATTTGATGTCAGAGGATCTAAGTTCGGATTCTGACTCTATTCCTTGCTACCTGGGTGACCATGGACAATTCTAAGAGGGAATCCAAGATGAAGCCACTGAGATCCATTCCAATTCTAAAAATCTGTGATTCTACAAGGAAATGTCTTCAAGATACACTCTAAAGGGAATGATAGACAGTGAAGAGATGTGAGAAGTGATGTATTTTTTCTTGCATTTCCTTATTGTAACGATTTCGATTTCTCTACCTTTTGTTGTGGATGACTCTATAATCAGAACACCTGGGTTCAAATCCCACATCTGACTCTTACCATCTGTGAGATCTTGCAGATCATTTAACTTCCCCATACCTCAGTATCCTCTTCTGTAAAATGAAGGGGTTGGACCTGATGGCCTGTAGGGTCCCAACTCTAACTCTATGTTCTGATGAGCCAGGCTATGACTAAGGAGAGGGAAAGGAGAGTCAAAGATGATCCCAAGATTTTTAGCCTGCGTGACTGGAAAATTAGTAGTTCCATTAAAAGAAATGAGGAAGTCAGAAGAAGAAGCTGATTTGGCTGGGAGGGAAGTGGAGAGGATGAATTTTGTTTAAAATATGTTGAGTTAATCAAGTAAAATATCTAATAAACACCTGAAGATGGGTACTAGAGCTGAGATCTGTAACTTTTTTTTGCATCATGGACCCCTTTGTTCACAGACTTTTTTAAATTGTAAAATTCTAACACATCTTGCTAAGAGCGAGCATGTTACTCTCCCTCCTTATGTCATTAAAATCCTCCATGAGAAGAACAAGAGATTGCTATGTTTTTCAGAAACATGTTTACATCTTTCCCATAGTATTTTACTAAGCTAGACAGTAGAATGGAGATAGAATTTCCCTGGGGATTTTTATAGTATTTTACTATAACTTTTTATTTCCCACTTGATCGATTTAATTACTCAACCTCATTGAGACCACCTATCCACTAAACATGTTGACCTTCTTAAGAAATGCTACCAGGTCATGTGTTTCTGGGAAAGAATTAAAGAGCAGTTTCACATAGGAAAGTCAGATAATGTGTTTTTTTCATTAATGATGGTTCTGGGTTTTTTGTTTTGTTTGTTTTGTTTTGGTTTTGGTTTTATATGTACTGATCTTGGAGTCACAAAACCTGAGTTGAAATCCTGGCTTGATTACTTACTGCCCTTGCCCTCCAAGTCACTTTGGCCTGTCTGGCCCTTAGTTTCTTCACATAAAACAAGTCTGATAGAATCCTTTCTCAATTTTTGCCAATCATTTGCAGAGTGTAGAATAGATATTGTTTTTTTTTTCAAAATTCGATAAAATTATCCTGTAAATTTGTCTAGACCAGACCTCTATTTTTTTTAAGGCAACTGGGTTAAGTGACTTGCCCAGGGTCACACAGCTAGTACATGTCAAGTGTTTGGTCTGAGGCCGGAATTGAACTCAGGTCTTCTGACTTCAGGGCCGGTGCTCTATCCACTGTACCATCTAGCTGCCCCTAGACCTCTATTTGTGGTAGTCTCTTTACAGCTAGTTCAATTTATTCTTATGAGATTAAATTAAGATCTCTATTCATGCTCTATTAATTTGGCTATTTTAATAGTCATACAGCCAATGTAATTTTATGTTTTTGTAGCTAATCCTCTATTTCATTTGAATTCTCAGATTTGTTGGCATACAACTGTGTTTAATATGTTCTGATAATTCTGTTGTTTGTTCCTTGTGCTTTGCCTATGTTCAGTTTTTACTTTTGCTTGTTTTATTTTCATTCCTATTCTTGTTGGTCAAGTTGGCTAAAAGTGACCAAGTTTTTAGATTTTCAAAGAATCAACTTTTAATTTTATTGGTTCTATAGTCTTTTTTTAGTTTCTGATTTACTTATTTCTCCTTTAATTTTCAAGATTTCCTCTTCTGTGCTTACTTTGTTTTGTAAAAATTTGTTAGTTATCTAATTTTAACATATTTAACGTATTTAGTTTATTTATCTTTTTTTTTCTATTTTGTGAATGTATGTTTTTAGGAATATAATTTTTCCCCTGAGGACTGCTTTAGATGTATCCTAGAAATTTAGGTATGTTGCTTCATAATTATCATCACATTTCATATAGCTTTTAATTTTTGTTTGTTTTTTGACTCATTGTTTAGGCCAGGATGTGGCCACATGTGGCCTTGAGGCTGCAGGTTCCACACCCTGGGTTAGGCTTTCCTTATTAAATTTCTATGTCAATGTCTTTTGCTCGTGTGTTCTGTGTTAATTGCTATTTTCATTTCATTTTGCTCTGTAAAAATTGTATGTATTATTTAAGTTTTCTTACATTTATTTGCAACTTTTCTATGCTTTAATATATGGTATATATTTCTAATGGTGCCATGTGGTACTGAAGAATATGTATCTATAGCTGTATAGAATAGAGCTCTGTTTATAACTTTCACTGCACTCACCATGCATATGTGTGTATGTATATGTATATGTATATGTATATGTATATGTATATGTATATGTGTATGCGTATGCGTATGCGTATGCGTATGCGTATGCGTATGCGTATGCGTATGCGTATGCGTATGCGTATGCGTATGCGTATGCACATGCACATGCACATGCACATGCACATGCACATGCACATGCATATGTATATGTATATGTATATGTATATGTATATGTATATGTATATGTATATGTATATGTATATGTATATGTGTATGTGTATGTGTATGTGTATGTATATGTATATGTATATATGTGTATGTGTATGTGTATGTACATGTACATATGTTCTTGGTCAAAAGATACCATACATCTTTTAGCTCTAAATTCTCCAACAATTCATTCAGTTCTCTATTTTTCTTTTTGCTTATTTTTTTGTTAGATTTGTCTAGCTTTGAGGGATTAAAGTAAGGTCTACTATTATTCTTGTGTTGCTATGTATGTTTTTGCAACTCAGTTGAATTTTCCTTTATTAATAGGGATACTATGCCATTTAGTGCATACGTGTTTAATATTGATTCTGACTCATTGTCGATGGTTTATTTAAACATAATGTAAATTGCTTGTGAATTTTTAGTTTTGCTTTATCTGACTGCATAATTAGAATTCTTGCTTTTTTGTATTCATCCGTTGAACAGTAAATTATGTTCCAGTGTCCTCTCTCCTTTATTTTCTTACTTTTTTTCTTTCCTTCCTTCCTTCCTTCTTTTCTTCCTTTCTCTCTTTTCCCCCTTGATTTTCCCTTTCAGTTAAGTGGGTATTTCAAAATCTCCTTTTGTTTCTTCACTTCAGTTTCTTATGTTTGTTAATTTTTTTCTGCACCTTTTTCTAAATTTTTTTGCTTTGTTCTTTTTTTCTCCTTTCATTGAAAAGAAAATAAAAGAAATTAAAGAATAAAAGGATAATTGACGCACTTAAAAAATACACAGAATAGGATAGAAAGGAAGCCCAGAAAAATCCCAAAGAAGTTTTGACAGTTATATGTTAAATTTATTATATATTTAAAAAGAAAAGCAAGCTCTACATAATGGAGTTTCCCAATTTCATGTGTAGTCCTCTTTTTTCAGTTCTTCTATACATATAGAAATTCCCATTTTATTCTTTTATTTATATATTAAGCAAATTTAACAAAGCAACAAATAACTTAATTACTAAATAGTATGATCATTTCCATACATGTGCAGAAGATGAAATGGGTTGCTTATGAAACTATAAACCTTTGTTATGTTCATCTTGCTTATGAAGAGCTTTTAATGCTAAAGAGAGAAATTTTTACTTGATTCTGTAAATAATAGGTTGCCAGTGGACCTGAGTGAGCAGTGAAGTAACATGTTCAGTCAAATCTGTGCTTTAGGCATATCACTTTGGCATGTGTGTGGAGAATGATTTGGCATGCAGTGAGATTTGAGGCAGGAAGGCCAATTAGAAGGCTATTGCAATCCAGGTGACAGGTAATTAAAAAGCCTGAACTAGGATTGTGCCATAGAGGTGTTGCTAGGGGTGCTGGGAGCCCCAAAATGCAAGGAGTAAAGAGTGTGGGTCTGCCTCAAAAGAATTCAGCCACTCAAGCCTGGAATGGTCTGGAGGTAGCAGACAAAGAAGGGCTGGGCTGGGTCAGAGGTAACAGAGAATTGAAGGTTGGGCTGGGTAGGGGCCACAATGAAAGGACAGTTGAAAAGATTATTGAGTATCTAGGGGGAGATGTGTGGGAAGGTTCAGGAGCTGGGTTGCATTTTTGGGGTCCAGGTCCCATACCTCATCAGAGAAAGTTTTCTTACCCAAGAGTACCTAATACTTAGTCAAGTCCCAAACCCTATTCTCTTTCACAATTTACGTTCCAATCAAATTGGACTATCAATTGTTCAAAAAATGATATGCAATCTCCTGCCTCAATGTATTCTCCTTTTGAAAAAAATTTTTTTTTCTGAATTTAACCAAAACCAAATAAAATTTGGTGCATTTGGAGCATTTCCATAAGCTTGTTCCACAAAGATTCAGTTTTAATGTCTGAATGTTGGTTGAAACACATGCTTTGGGATCTGAGTGCAGCTACTACAGGTGGGGCATTCATTTTCAGAAATTTAGAAAAGTCTTAATTTCCTCTATTTTTATTAACAATAACAATACAGGTAGCACTGTGAATAGAACAATGGAGTTTTCCTGGAGTCAGGAAGTCTTGCATTCCAATTTGGCTTCAGACACTCCCTAGTTGTTTGACCCTGGGCAAGTAAACTAACCTCTGCCTCAGTTCCCTCATCTGTAAAAAAAATGGTGGGTGATTAATAGCACCTTCCTCCCAGGTTGGCTGTGAGGATCCAATGAAATTGTAGGTATAATGTGCTTCATAAACCTTAAAGCATTACGTAAATGCTAGCTATTTTTATTATTTTCATTAACCACAGTAGTACCGAGATTTACTTTCTGGCAAAGAGTTCTTTCTGCAAAAACAAGAAAGCATTTTTTTGAGTGGACCTCAGTTCTCTAGTAGTTAAGAGCCGGTTTTTAATCTGCTTTACAGTTAAAGAATGTGAGGGAGGGAGCTGGGAAGTCTGTAATGTTGTTTCTCCAAAGTTAAACTGCAAGTAAGTGACCTTTAGACCTTTGCGTTACATACTTGTCTTTCCTGCTTACTGGTCAAAAATAAATGACACAACTTGATGCTTCCATTTAATACATGTGAAAAAGCTGGATCATTTATATAAGACCAAGAAAAGGATTCTGACACACATTATATTCATTTGGACACACAAGAAAGAAATTCCCACTTTCAGAAACCCAGATGAAACCAAATTACCATTTAAAGAAATTCCCACTTTCAGAGACTCAATTAAACCAAATAGCCTGTTTGTTTGTTGGGATTACATGTGTGTGTGTGTGTGTGTGTGTGTGTGTGTGTGTGTGTGTGTAATGCTTTTAATGCTTCAAAACCTCAATGATCTGTGAGGTTCCTCTATCAACATAAATCAAACCCGTTTGACTTATACAAAGGACAGAGGCTCTGGGTTCCAATCTTACATCTCATGCTTGGGCTTGGATAAGTCATTTGGCTTCCTTGGGCCTCTGTTTCCTTATCTGTAAGATGAGAGGGTTGAACTAGATGACCTCTGAGATCCCTTCCTGCTCTAGATCTGAGGTCTTAATATTTCATAAAAGGTTTTTGAGACCATCTAATAATGAATTGCACTGAATTTAATTAAGCTTGTTTCTGAGACTCTAGGCATAGAGTTGTTCACTGGGTATATCAACTGAAACCTTTCCAATTTGTTAAGAATAGACCATAGGATCATAAATCTAAAGTGAGACCACCTGGTCCAGCTCCCTTCTTTAACTATTAAGGAAACTGAGGCTCAGGGAGGTGGAATTTGAATCTGGATCCTGTGGTTCAGAAATCTGCCCACTGTACCATAATAATGTAGCATCTCACAAAAAACAAACAAACAAAAAAAACCCCAACCCCCTAAACCCTTATACAACAAGCCAACTGCAGGTTTGGTTCCCAGGAAAGTGAATACCTCAGGTTCAAGATACTCTGTAGGACCACACTCCCCAAACTGTAGGTCATGAATAATCCTCTCCCAATTCTCAACCCCAGCCTCTATGTTTAACTTTAGTAGTTTAATAATGCAATGATAGTAACAAAGGCCAAATTTGGTCAGAGGAAGCAATACAAGGACATTCTCAAGGTCTCTCTTAAGAAATTTAGGATTGATGGTGTGACATGGGAGACACTGGCACAGGACCACCCAGCATGGCATGCCCTCATCAGAGAATGTGCTGTGCTCTATGAGCAAAGCAGAATTGAAACAGTTCAAAGGAAATGCAGGATGCGCACATTTAGAGAAACCACCCCAAATGTTCACATGGACTACTTGTGCCCGACCTGTGGTAGAGCATTCCAAGCTTGTATTGGTCTAATCAGCCATAGTCAGACACATTGAAATTTGACTCTAGCACAGTGATGTCATTTTGGTCCTCTTTGAGAATGAAAGACAAAAACCCAACTGAACCGAACGCAGTGAGCTCAAAGCAAAGGTAATTTTAATTATATTTAATTTAATAATTTAATTATATGTAATATATAAGAATAAGAACAATAATAACGAGATGTTCTCACATATAAACTGTGGGAATACTCTTACTTGTTATGAAAGTATTCCGCACATGTTGCATCAGTGGGAAGAATGGTCACATACATAGAGAACACAATTAGAGAGGCACCCATGAAAGAAAGGCCTGTGGCTAAAGCAACTTATGTTTATAGCACTGTGGGAGTTCTTGTTGCCTTGTGCTTCTCTAAGGATCCTTAAGCTACCCCCTCCCCCAGGCAGAATGTTTTTGAGCCTGCTTTTCTCCACATCTCTCCTCCAGATTGCCAGGGCTAACTATTGAATCTATCACTGGCTGTCTTTCTCTGAGGCCAGGAGTCTCATTCTTCAAAGCTGTCTCCTTTTAATTTGATCAAGCTGGTCCTGAGACAACAGGCATGGCGTCTTTCACTGGTCCTTTAACTGAAGCCTTTCCAACTTGGTAAGATCTTGAATAGATCATAGGATCAGAAATCATAGGATAAATACATCATGATG